CCGGGAGGCTGAGGCAGAAGAATCCCTTGAGCCTGGGAGACCTAGAAGTTGCAGTAAGCCGAGATTGTGCCACTGCACTTCAGCCTGGGCGACAGAGTGAGACTCCATCTCCAAAAAAAAAAAGAATTTACTTGTATTTTAATTTAGGATAGGCGCTCCTTTGCTCAAATTAGAGTGGTCTGCTGTACTAGTCAAACATCTACGACTCTATTGAGTCTATTCCGCCTGTCAAATGCTGACAGTACTTCTGAATCCCATTTATTGATAAAGGCATGACTTGTCTGCACAGAATGCTTACTACCACTTACTGATCCTATTTTTTCTAATCCAAAAACTATTGAGTGTTATATTCCATAAATCAATTTGTGGACATAGCTTAGCTTGAGGTCTCCCTCAAGCTGCTTCCCCACCCACACACACCTTCCCAAGGAAATAGATTTATTGTTTTATTTAATTATAAAAGCAATACAATAAAAAGAGGGAAATAGTGTAATGCAATACAATAAAAAGAGGGAAATAGTGTATATGTAAGCTGTTATAAACTTAGCAATTATAAATTTAATCAGAAAGGCTGAAGAAAACAATCTTAAAAATCATCCAAAATCTATCATTTATACATTATCATTATTATGTTGTTGTCTCTCCTTTCAGACTTTTTTCTCTTGTGTATATAAACCCATAGATTGACTTCATTTTTGTTTTTAAAATGCCTTTTATACTACTTCTATTTTGTAAATAGCTTTTTTTTCCTTAAGAATATGTTACAGACATCTTTGGATAGCAATGCGAGGATTTTTTTCTTTTGGTCAGGATTTTTGTCTTACCATCCCCTACTCCTCCCAATTTCTATTTTTTACGATGAAAATTTATTATAGCTCAGGGCATAGTCATCACAATACCCTTTGTGAGGGTATTCATCATCTTGGTTTTTCAGTGTAAAAAATCATTGAATTGTAGTTACCCTTGCCAAAAGATAAAGAATGAAGCAATTACATATTCCCCTGAGATTGCTGAAATTTGTCCTGTAAATTAACCATTTAAGAAATTCATTACAAAGGTTAATTATGTCAGATCTATAATTTTGTTAAGGTTCAGATACACCTGGATACTGTCTGTTCCTTAACTTGGGTGAGACAGTGGTTATTGAAATGGGAGGGATCAACAATTTGCTTGAGAATAGCAACTAGACATGCACTGTCCATTTACTGTCCTATGCTGCAGCATTCTGCCCAGTAGCCAAAACAAGGGAGGTGGCAGGAGAAGCCATTTCATGACACTGACATTAGGAATGGTTGCCACTTTGGGTTCACTGGAAATTGAAGGATAGTGTATGGCTTTGCTGTAGAGTCACATTTCAACATATGACCCACACTGAAGAGAAGAGCATTTTTTTTTTTATTTGCATGTGTAGGTAAGCAATGCTGCTATTCTCGGAATCACCAGAAATGCAGAAAGTTATCTCCTGTTAAATTGTTCTCCAAATGGCTAAACTATTTAACATCGATGCTGACTGTTGTATAATCTAAAACAATATTTCAGGATGCAGCAAGTCAGTGTTTCAGAGGTCCCTGATTTTGGTTAAAATGGTCTTTGCATGTGTTCTGAGTTTTGTTCTTGAACTAAAACTCACTTTCTTCCAAAATATTTAGGCACACAATTTTAAAAACACCATAATCTTAATCTCCATACTATGCTGTTCATCTACTCAAGACTTGTACTGAATATAGCATGATAATAGGGCGGTATGGAAGAAGAGTAAGTTAACACTCACTGAAACTTGTGTTCCAAATTCTCTTCTAAATGCTCTACATATTTACTTTTCAGAGATACTCACGATATGGCCAACTTAGTACCATTATTTGTTTGATGCAACTTGGCAGTTAAGCCTGATGTCATTCAGAATCCAGTATGTGTAAATCGTTTCCAAGCATTAGAGCCCTTCAAGAATCAGAGCTCAGCAGTGTTGCCTTTAATTGACTCAAATAGGACTTTGCCAGCTGATGGGGTGCTCTACCAGTCACAATGGTTTTGAAAAATGGGAAGTGTTTTATTATAATTCTAGGTATTGAAACCAAGGGGGATTTGGTACAAAAAGTTTCACAACGAAATTAGCCAGTAGAATTCAGATAGAGGGAAAGGTTCACGTGAAGACAAGAGATAAAAATGAATTACATGAACAAAGATGTTCCATCAAAATTTACAGAAAAGCAGTTTTCAAGTTTACCTGCCTAATTACAAATAATCAGACTTGCATTTGTAAAAGCTTAGAATTGTAGGGCTGGAAGAGACCTTAAGGAATCATCTTTTCCAACTCCCCTTATTGCAGTTCATTGCATTGAGTTGAAGAAAACTGATTTGCCCAAATCTTACAATCAAATTATTAGTAGACTTTGGAATAGAATCTAGATTCCCTGGCTGCTAGTATTCTTTTTTTTTTTTTTTTTTTTTTTTTTTTTTTAACAGTTCCCTAATCTGTTTGGCTTCCAAACATAGCTCACATTGAGGCTCTTTTAACCTTTTTTTCCCCTTCCCCTAGTAGAAAGTGTTTGCTTGCCCCATGGGCCTGAGAAACAAAAGTCCTGGAATCTTTCTCAAGGTTGCATTTATCTAGAGCACCAAGACTTCAGCTCTCAGCCCCAAGAGGTCTGGCTTTTAGGCCTCTGGATTCTCCTTCGGCTGCCATTATTCCTGCCAGCACTTTGAGTTGCCTGAACATGTCATTCCTCAAGAATGTGAGGGGGAAAAATGTTATTAACCGAGTGTTTTCCTAAATGTAAGTATAGCAGTACCTAAACAGGTGAATGTCTGGGGTAATAAGTTAAAAAAAAGTTAAGATTATTAAATGAGCTTACTAAATTGTGAGTGGCTGGTAACCTTGTGGTCTTTCTAGAAATATTTGCAGTTTTTTAAGGAAGGGTGATACTTAAACACATCTTTCTTTGGTATAATTTTAAAAATAAACATTTCAGGCAATGGAAAGAGATTGATATATGCACTGGGTAAGTCACCCTTATCTGGAACAGTTTCAACCTCTTAGGCTACTCTTGCTTTTTATAATCTCTTTCCTTCCTCAACTTGTTAACTCAAAGAAATCTAAAGTTTTTTCCTTAATGGGTTGTCATTGGCTATGGAGGTGTGTTCTGTTCAAGTAAGTATAGCCATTTGTAAGTACAGGTCATTTATAAATTATGAACTTGTAGGCACAGGTTTACTCAATGAGAAAGAGTCAGAGAACAAAATGTTCTTGTTGCTTCTGCCTGGTCTGGAGTTTCAGGGAAGTAAAGGAACACTGTGGTTAAAGTTCATACCATCATTTTGACATTTAGTGTCAGACTTTCTCTTTGTAAATCCCTCTTCACATTACGAGTGCTGGTCTCAGAGCTCGAACTGTTTCAAAACCATAACATTTCTTAGTGAGTGATTGATCTGTATTATGTGTCCGGCCATCAGGGGGATCTTGGGATGTTGCTTGTGTAAACTGTAATCCAATCTGATGCTGTGCGTTTAGTTACAGTCTTTCATAGACCTATTGGCGATACTCAGTCCTCCTGGATTTGGGAATGGGGCTTATCTGATACCTTCAGGGGAAAAAAAAAATCCATTCATTTTTCTCTCTTCCCCACTTAAATAACTCAACTCATGTGGTAACACTGTGGGATCATTGTCCTTCCAGTTCCTCTGCAGCTCATATTACTACAATATTTCTTAAGTATTTGGTTACCTACACGACAATGTGATTTAAAAAAAAAAAAAAAAAAAAAAGACTTTGTATATGCCTTACAAATTAACCCATCTGCAAAGAGCTAGGAAAAATATATGCCTTCAATCAGCAAAAATTTCCTATCAGCAGTTCTATGTATGTTACGTAGTATAAATGTAAATATATAAATTTGGAGATAAATGCTCATGTGTTAAAATGTTAAAGCAAGTCTTTCTACAAATTAATATCATTTGCCTCTAAGAAAATGTTTATTAAACCCAGGGTACCTGAGATTGAAGTATCTTGTTGTTTGGGTCTGTATTCTTTGGCTTAATAATGTCTTCAATTACAAGAATGATAAAAGCTGAAACAAAATCCTTTAATTCAATCAGAGTGGAGCTGAATTTTCGGAAGCAAAGAGTGGAAATCTGATACAGGACTGCATAACATAGGAAGTTAAATATACAAGATATTAAGACTTGTAAGAAGCGGATGGGGTTGCCTTGAGGAATTCTTATTTGAAATGGCTGCATTGAACATTTTCATAAATACTACTATTTTATCCTCTCAAATTAAGATGCTTTATGCAAACTACTCTAAATTGTACAGTAGTTCCAAAGAGACCATTTACTGTTTTCTGCTTGTTTTACATCCTGGAACAAGTTCAAAGCGTTTGATTTCACTTGATTAAAAAAAAAAAAAAAAAGTCTGAGCCTTGAAAAATAATACAGGTTTGATGAATATGATTTCAGTATTGCAGTTCTATAAAAATTTTCAGTGTTTACGGTACATTTGACCCAGGGGCCCCACAGTAAATATATCCACAGTGCATTTTAAGTGCAACAGAATGAACATATTTGAAAGGTTAGCCATTCTTTTGCTTTTGCTTTTTTTTCCTGTAGTATGAAAATTAGCATTGTAATTGCTCCCAGAATGGGAGTACTGAAAAAATATCCACCTGACAGAAATAAACATGCAGAAAATAAATTGAGTTAAGATTTCATTAGTTATCTGAAATGTAAATTTATGTTCAAAATGGCTATTACTCGATTTTCATGTATATTAGTTAAATGCTATGCTTATAAGATTTTTTTTTGGCTTGAATTATGACTGAAAAAAATTGGATCACAGCTTTAATATCCAGGTGGGCAATGCCATTTGCTGAGATCTTAGTGCACAGCACAAGATTTTTTCTGTCAAGCACAGATTCTGCCTTGCCACTGAGCCTTTTGAAGCATTCTGAGGTAACAATGGAGATATATTTAAAATTTTTTTTTTAATTTTTCTTCTTGCTTTTTAGGTTGTGGAACTTTTAGCAAGTGCTCTCATGGACTTGGTACAAGGAGTATATCACGAAAATTCTACTTCAAAGGTAAAGGATTTCAGAGTCATAAAATGTTATGTTATAAGCCCTTGTGGTAAAACTAGAATAACGAAAATGTCATTCTTGTTTTGTGTTTAAATTGTACATGGCTTTTTTTTTTTTTTTTTTTAAGATTAGTGTTTTGGCTACAAATTCATGGCCATACGCTTAGTACATAGCAGACTTAGCCAATTAAAACAACCTCTTATCCTCTGGCTGGATTCACAGTCTGTTCAATCTGCAGCAGCCCAGTAGACACTGGGATGCTTCTGGCTAGCAGGTAGCAGTGTCACAGGCAGGCAGGCTGGAGGAGCAGCTTGTGCTGAGGCAACTGAACCCATCCTTTCCCCAGAGGAAGGGTCCTTCCATGTCACAGAGGAGTGGACCTTGATCCTAAGAAGATGACTGTTGGGGAGATGGGATGGGGATGTCTTTTATATGTAAGACCCAGAATTTACTGCATTATTAGATTCTTTATGATAAGAAGTGGGATGATTGCACAGTTGGATTATTTTGATTAATTTTATAGGTCTAGAATTAAGATTTTTTTGACTCATTTAGCAGGACATCTCAAGAAAGGTTAGGTTTTATTTCCTTAAAATGCAGTTATTTCATTTCGGTAGGATATTAGATGTGAAGTAATTGCTTCATTGACCACCACCATCATTTAACATGGTACATACTATTATAAGGGGCTCCTATCTTAGTGTTTCATTATTCTAACTTCTTTAGCTTCTGTATTAGCAAGATTTCACTCACTTCAAATTAGAAAAGGTATGCATGTATGCACATCTTAAGCTTTTTGACATTTTCACTTGAAAAAAGAAAGATAAATTTTACTAGAAGTGAAACATAGGGCATGAGCAACTGGGATAAGAAATTTAAAATTTAAAAGTATAACACAGGGACTCTGGGTAGTTCAGAGACCGGTTAGTAGAATGTGCAGAATTGCACTTTGGACATCTGCTAACATTTGGTTCAAGTAACTACAGTTCCTAGTAGGCACATCTAGCCACACCTAAGCAGCATATTGGTATGCAGAGACCTCACAGGATGGATGACCACAGTGGACCTTTCAAAGATGTGCAAGTTCACTACTGTGGATGAAGGTTAATATCTGATTGTAAAATGGGTGACTACTGGTCTAGTTCCACTTGTAGAAAGTTACCTTGTATAGATAGTATGATGAAGATGACAATAGCTAAGCAAATAACCCTGTAGTAAGTGATTTGCCTGTGTTTCTTCATTTAATCTTCACAGAAATCCTTAGAGATAGGTACTACTGCTATCCCCATTTTACAGATGTGAACACTGAGGTTGAGAAAAGGTTAAGTAATTTTCCCAAGGTCACACAACTTGTTAGCTCTCAGGGATTTGAAGTCAAGAACCCAGACTCATTTTTATTTATTTATTTATTTATTTATTTATTTTTAATTTTTATTTTTATTTTTTTTTTGAGACAGAGTTTCGCTCTTGTTGCCCAAGCTGGAGTGCAATGGCACGATCTCAGCTCACCACAACCTCTACCTCCTGGGTTCAAGCAATTCTCCTGCCTCAGCCTCCTGAGTAGCTGGGATTACAGGCATGTGCCACCACGCCTGGCTAATTTTGTATTTTTAGTAGAGACAGGGTTTCTCCATATTGGTCAGGCTGGTCTCGACCTGACCTCAGGTGATAGGCCCACCTCGGCCTCCCAAAGTGCTGGGATTACAGGTGTGAGCCACCGTGCCCGGACCAGGATTGGGGGCATGGCAGACCAGAGTGGTCTTGGAAAATGCAGCATTTAGGCACAAAAGCGGGAGTGCCTGTCCTCACCTAGGTCTGTAGGAGTGGAGCCCCAGCCAGGGACCTGCCTTTCTCTACCCAGCTACCCAGCACTTCCCCGTATCATCTGTACTTTAGTGAAACCTGATTTGATAGCATCTATCTGCCATACCTGAGATCCCACTATATGATAATTATAGTGACCAGTTCTGGATGTTGAGACACTGTTTTCCCTTGGGATATTTCCAGGGTGTTCAACTTAGTTCCATATAAGATATTTATATTTTACAATTAAATATGTTAATTTTTACATGAAAGTGTTATTGTTGGTTTTAAGGTTCTTAATTTATCTACTCTTACCATTTGTCCACTATAATTAGCTCAGTTCATTAATAATTATGTGACCATGTTTTAAGTACTTTTTATGTCAGGGAGACCTAACAGCAACAACAATTAATACTTAGATAGCCCTTTACAGTTTGCTTATACTTTCTTTGTACACAATCACCTATGAAAAGGGTGACATTTGTTGGTATTCCCATTTACAGAGGAAAAGCCTGAAATTCAGACATTACAAATGGCAGGAAAGCATAGTGTCTGAAAATTGTTAATATATTAACATGTTTCACAGTTCATAATGAACCCAGGTTTTTCTTGACTCTAAGTCCCATGCTTTTTCTCATATTTTTATTGTGTTTCTTCCCGAAAAAGAGAAAAGAAGAAGCAACAAAGTCTTTTTTTAGACAGAGTCTTGCTCTGTCGCCCAGGCTGGAGTGCAGTGGCGCAATCTCGGCTCACTGCAATCTCCGCCTCCTGGGTTCACACCATTCTCCTGCCTCAGCCTCTCGAGTAGCTGGGACTACAGGCGCCCGCCACCATGCCCATGCCTGGCTAATTTTTTGTATTTTTAGTAGAGACGGGATTTCACTGTCACTGTGTTAGCCAGGATGGTCTCAATCTCCTGACCTTGTGATCCACCTGCCTCGGCCTCCCAAAGTACTGAGATTACAGGCATGAGCCACCGCGCCCAACTGCAAGAAAGTCTTTAAAGGGCTGTTGATTGTACTTGAACCACCACTTGGCAAACAACAATTGCTGACTTTATTTAAATACAGAGATTCAGAGGAATGCTACCTTTATTAGCTACATTTTATTAAAGAGACTCTATAGCAATGCTTCATTCATCTGTCCTCTTTCCCTGCCACCTCCTCATAGCCCTTTTTTAAGCAGTTACATTTCTGAAAATAGCCAAACCATTTAAAGAGCCATTCTTTTTTCATAATGGAAACAGGATGGCGTGGTGGCTTAAGCCTATAATCCCAGCACTTTAGGAGGCCAAGGTAGGAGGATCCCTTGGGGCCAGGAGTTCAAGACCAGCCTGGGCAACATGGGAAGACCCCGTTTTTACAAAAAATAAAATAATTAGCTGGGCATGGTGGCCCATGCCTGCTCAGGATGCTGAGGTGAGGCAGTAGGATTACTGGAACCCAGGAGTTTGAGGTTACAATAAGCTGTGATTGCACCACTGCACTCCAACCTGGGTGACACAGCAAGACCCTGTCTCTTAAAAAATAATAATTTTTTTTTAAAAGAATGGAAACAAAAATGCATGGTTGAACTGTACTAGTGGGAGTGCTTCTTGATGCCTCCATTTGTGCCTCAGGTCCAATTTAGGTTAACCACATTTCCCTTCCTAACCAGAAAAATTCTGGCTTTTTTTCCTGAGTGTGCTTACCATTGCAATAGCTCTCTTCAGAATTTGGTTTTTCTAACAGCCCAAGAAGTACTTCAGATGCCAGAGAGAGCACTGCCTCCACATGGAGTGCTTTCAAGGTTTTCATGTTCTGGCAGGACTGGGAAGCAGCCACAAGTGGAGGTCATGTGGGAAGAGAGGCTGCCCCTGTGGATCTCTGTTGCACAACCTCCGTAGCCTTGGGCCAATTTAGTACACAAAAGAATTGCTTTGTGATTTAAAAGAAGCTGCAAACCATTTCATCTCTCTAGGGGTAAGAGGATACAATAGCAGTCTGTTTTCTATATGGCAGCTTAATGCAGTGGTGAAGATCCTGGGTAGTAGGAAAATAGCTTTCTGTTAAGTAGCATATATGTGACTAAGGTAGATGCATAACAACAAATGGAAGGGAATTGGAACTGGATACATTAGAGTCACCTTCTCCAAAAGAAGTTTATAGAGCAGCTGGGCGTGGTCGTTCATGCCTGTAATCCCAGCACTTTGGGAGGCTGAGGCGGTTGGGTCGCAATGTCAAGAGATCGGGACCGTCCTGGCTAACACGGTGAAACCGTGTCTCTACTAAAAATACAAAAAATTAGCTGGGCGTGGTGGTGGGCGCCTGTAGTCCCAGCTACTCGGAGGCTGAGGCAGAAGAATGGCGTGAACCCGGGAGGCGGAGCTTGCAGTGAGCCTTGCAGTGAGCCAAGATCCCACCACTGCACTCCAGCCTGGGGACAGAGTGAGACTCTGTCTCAAAAAGAAAAAAAAAGAAGAAGAAGAAGAAGAGGTTTGTAGAACAATTACTTAATTCTCCTTAAAGCTGTGAAAACTTTATGACTTACATTACTAATACTTATTTTTTTTTTTTACAGTGTCTCGCTCTGTTGCCCAGGCCAGAGTGCAGTGGTGCGATCTAAGCTTACTGTAACCTCTGCCTACCCGGTTCAAACGATTCCTGTGCCTCAGCCTCACAAGCAGTTGGGACTGCAGGCGCACACCACCATGCCTCGCTAATTTTTGTATTTTCAGTAGAGATGAGGTTTTGCCATGTTGGCCAGGCTGGTCTTGAACTCCTGGCCTCAAGCAACACGTCCTCCTCAGCCTCCCAAAGTGCTGTTACTTACTCATACTTAATAATGTACTAAGTTGAATTACAGTTATATAAACATATAAAATAGCTTAGGAAATTCATCCTTTGTTCTAGCCATTGAAATATATTTTCATTTTTGCACTGGCTAGTTTGTGAACCATTTCTTCATTATAATAAAAATTAGCCATTCTGATTTCTGTAGTGTTTATAAGAAAATATATCTCCCCTGTCTGCATTTTAAATGTTAGCTAATTGAAGAAAGAAGCATTTGAAATAGAAAAATTGTTTGTTTTTTTTTTAATTTTTATTTTTTAAGAGGTAGGATCTCGGCCAGGTGCGGTGGCTCACGCCTGTAATCTCAGCACTTTGGGAGGTGGAGGCAGGCTGATCACCTGAGGTCAGGAGTTCGAGACCAGCCAGGTC